TGGACACAAATCTGAACCACACTGAGCTGCAGCCTCGCCCCGAGAGAACAGAACAGCCCGAGCAGGAAGTCCAGGCACAAGGGATGTCGGTTTGGCTGTGCAGAGAGAAGGGCCTCACGGAGGGGCCATTTCACGGCCACTTAAAAAAATGGAACAGGGCCTCTGTCGGTCCCTGATTACGGATTATTGGGGGGCAGAACAGGCAGGGTCTCACAGTGGGAGCAGCCTCGGAGAGGGGAGAGTCCTAGGAAAGGGGGATAAAAGGGGAGCAGGCACAAGGAAGACGTGGGAATGGAAATTGGGTGCAAGTCTTCGGCTCTGCCTTCCATAGAGGTTTACTTTATACACTTCAGGCAGGCAGAGGGTGACATTAGCATATGAAATGGGCTGAGATCACAATCACCTTTTTGCTAAGAATAGTCTGGGGTTGTTTTGACCTTTAGTTGAGATTATAACATTTTTAAAATCAATCTATCAAGGTCAAAGCAGGTACATAGATTCACAAAGTTTAAGCCTTAATATTACTATATTTACCACAGTGAAGATTAACCAAAATAAAGTCCCTTAAACATTATCTGTTACTTCATGGCTTTCATTCTCATAGAGACATCCTAGGGGGTAAAGTAAAGTGAGGGCTGGGCCCTCCCTGGTGGGGCAGTGGAGTTAAAGCACAACACAAAGAAGCTTCAACATGAGCTCAATCCCGTCCTCTGCCCTCTGTCCGCCCCGGGAGGTGACCACATGGCACGGCAGACCTTTCCTGACCCGCCTGCTGCTCCCCTCTGTGTCGGGACTGAGACCAGGACTTTGCCTCCTATGCACAAAACAACACTTGATCGGAACTTGGGGTAAACATCCTGGTTGAGAATGCAGCACACCAAATCCCTTCTCCCACTCCTTTCTCCCTCGGAGCTCAGCAAGTTCCTGCACCTGAGAAAGGTTTTATCTCTGGCTCCCGAGATAAGTGTCCACATGATTACGATGATTACGGATCCTCTCTCTCTCTCTCTCTCTGTCTCTCTCTCTCTCACTTGTCTCCATCTTTGCCTTCTTCCTTTCGTCCACCCTGGGACCCCAATCCTTGGCCTTGCTGGTCAAGGCCCCTTACACCTCTGCAGTGCACTTCCTCGATCTGCCTGTTCTGCTCCCCACTCTGTCTCTGGGGAGTCCTCTCCCTCCCCTCTACCTCTGGCCTGCACCCAGTTCTTGTGTGCATAAATACATCTTTTCAAAAAGAAACAGTGCCTTTTGGCTCCTCAAACTGCTAAACATGGCACTTCCATAGGACCCAGCAATCCCACTCCTAGGTATCTACCCAAAGGACACAAAAACATTGAGTCAAAAGACACCTGCACCCCCATGTTTATTGCTGCTTTATTTACAATTGGAAAGACATGGAAGCAGCCCAAATGCCCAAAAGTGGATGACTGGATTAAAAAGATGTGGTACATTTATACAATGGAATATTACTCAGCAACCAAAAAAAGGAAACACAAGCCTTTTGCAGCAACATGGATGGAGCTGGAGAAGATCATGCTTGGTGAAATCAGCCACAAAGAAAAGGAAAAATACTGGACGGTTTCTCTCATAGCAGGAGTATAATGGACCAGGCGAGAAAATTATGATCATGATGAACAGCTCTAGACCAGAGACATTCTGTGGGGCGGAGTGGGGAGTGGGGTCACAAACATGGGGGGAGGGAAATGCACAGTGTGTAAAATAAACTATCATATTATTAAAAAAAAAAAAAAGGGCCCTCCCTGGTGGCGCAGCGGGTTAAAGCGCAGCACTGAGAAGCTAAAGCCGCTTCCGCATGAGTTCGATCCCCGCCTGCCCCGAGGTGACCACAGGGCGCGGCAGGCCTCTCCTGGCCCGCCCGCTGCTCCCCTCAGCAGTGGACTTCGTCCATCTGCCTGTTCTGCTCCCCACTCTGTCTCTGGTGAAGCCTCTCGCCACCCCTGAGTCTCTGGCCTGTACCCCAGTTCTGTATGCACAAATAAATAAATCTTTAAAAAAAAAAAAGAAAAAGAAACAGTGCCTTTGGGGTCATAGGGGACAGTACACGTGCTGAAGGGGCAGTGGACGGTCGCTGGTGGACGGTCACTTACTGTGGAATGTAAGTGACCAGAGAAAACAAACTGACTAAACAGCGAAAACAACTTACACTGAAAAGTTCCTGGGGGGTCGCGGGGGGGGGCGGCGCAGGGGAGCAGGGAAGGAGGGAAGGTGCCCGGGGCCTTCGGGGAGTGAAGCCTGTGCCAGCTGTCCCCCCACGACTGCAGTCAAGTGGACAGTGGGCGGATGGGCCAAGCCCGCCAGGCGACCCACACTGGAGGGCGTCTGCACCCTGCCGGTCTCCAGCCCGCCTGAGCAGCAGCGGCTGCCGGCCCGGCCCTGCTGGAGACCTCTGAAAGCGCCTCAGGAACCGGGAAGAGACAGAGCAGAGGCAGAGAGCAGGGAGGGGCGACGAGAGGGGCTGGAAGGGCGAAGCTGACGCAGAGATGCCCTGGGGGGGGGGGGGGGTTCGGTTCGGGCTTGGGGCCTTCGGGGACGGCCAGCACTGCACCCGGAGCTGGCCACCCAGCCTGGCCCGCCCCGCCCTAAACCTCTCGGACTCAGCCCTGACCGGTTCTCGACACGACCCTGACCCCGCCACACCCCACCCTGAGCCCACCCGGCCGCCCCAGGCCCCCAGGACACTCACAGGTGTCTGAGGCCACCGACATCCCGACTCCTGGAACCTCTCCAACTGCCATGGAATCTGTCCCCACCCCCAGCAGCAGGCCGGACGGAAGCGCCGTGGCCTTCCTGTGGACGGTTCGGGAGACCACGAGACAGAAGCCGAGACAGGGCGCCCAGGCGAGAGCGCCTGGCCCCCAGGAGAGATCCATGGGCTTGTAGGTGGCCGTGTCTGGGCCGAGGGGCCGAGGCAGTTGGCTGGCTGTTGAGTGCACCTGGGGGCGGGGCCCCTCCCTGCCTCTCCCCATGTCCCAGACACCCCAGTCGGGCCATCAGCCCACCCAGCCGAGTGTGCTCCCAGCAGCTCCCAGCAACACTCAGGATGAGGCCCAAGATGCTGCACCAGAAACCGACAGGCCCCCTCAAGACTCCCCACCCACTACACACAGCAGTAGGGTCCATTTCCAAGGCCCTTCGCCAGACACTGAGCGCAGGGTCAGCACCCAGGACACGCCGCCCAGCACCCGCGGCCACCGGGTCAGCTTCCAAGGCCCCCTGCCGGCCAGCGAACGCAGGGTCAGTGTCCAGGACACGCCGCCCAGCACCCACGGCCGCCGGGTCAGCTTCCAGTCCTCCCTCGCCATCATCCACAGCCGTCGCGTCAGCGTCCCGACCTCCCCGCCGGCCAGCGAACGCAGGGTCAGTGTCCAGGACACGCCGACCAGCACCCACGGCCGCCGCATCAGCTTCCAGTCCACCCTGCCCATCATCCACAGCCGTCGTGTCAGCGTCACGGCCCCCTCGCTGGCCAGCCACCGCCGGGTCAGCACCCAGGACACAGGACTGGGCACCAAGAGTCCTCAGGGCAGTACCCAGAAGCCTGTGTCCAGCACCCAAGGCCCTCTCTCGGCGAGCGGCCACCCGCTCGGCGTCCAGAGCACCCCGCCGGGAGGAGGTCGCCAGGGCAGCGCCGAGAACCAGCTGCCCGCGGCCCAGAGTCCCCAGGACATGTCTCCCAGCGTCGGCAGCGACCAGTCTGCCTCCCAGAGCGTGTCGCCCATCTTCCACCCTCGCCTCCTCCCCCCGCCCAGCGCAGAGCCAGCTGCGAGCGGCAGCGACATCAGCCTCCGAGGGCGGCCGTCCAGGGTTTGGGGCTCCAGCTCCAATCTCCAAAACACCGGAACACCTCTCCTGCTCAAAGGCAGCGGCTCCGCCTCGTTGACGCCCAGGCCCAGTGTCGAGACACTGACCTGTGCCCCCCAGATTCCCAAAGGCCCCATGGGCAGCTTCCAGCTCGACCAAAATACTGCAGACAGCACCTTCGACTTACCGCCCGTCACCAACAGCGAGGTCTGTTCTTGGAGGTGAGAGGCAAGGTTCCGGGCAGCAGTTGGGGTTCTGGGCTAGAATCCTGGGGGAGGGGCGGCAGTCGGAGTCGGAGCGCGCACGGCCAGGGTGTCAGACTAGATGCTGGGCTCCCAGGAGCAGGACTGGGCTCTGGTGGCCTCCGTCAGGCCGACGGCAGGGCCAGGGACGGGGTCTGTGAGCGCTTTTATTTTTCCGATTGCTGGTCATAGATCCGAGAGAACAGAAGGGCTGTTCTACTACCTCATCTCCACCTGGCCCTTATTTGTTTTAGATTAATTTATTGTGGGCCCTCCCCGGTGGCAGGATGGGTTAAAGCGCAGGGCTGTGACTAGCTGCAGCAAGTTCTGTCTCCGGCCAGGGAGGGACCCCCAGGGTGCAGCAGACCTCTCCCGACCTGCCTGCTGCTCCCCTCAGCAGTGGACTTCATTGATCTGCCTGTTCTGCTCCCCGCTCTGTCTCTGGTGAAGCCTCTCACTGCCCCTGCACCTCTGGCCTGTACCCCAGTTCTGTGTGCATAAATAAATAAATCTTTCAAAAAAAAGAGATTTATTTCTTTATGCATGCAAGAACTGGGGTGTAGGCCAGAGGTGCAGGGGTGAAACAGAATGGGGAGCAGACAGGCAGATCTCCTGAAATCCACCCCTGAGGGGAGCAGCGGGGAGACAGGAGAGGTCTGCTGTGCCCTGGGGTCACTCCCTGGCCGGGGATCGAACTCAGGCTGCAGCGGCTGTGGTAGCCCCATAGTGCTGAGAGGTAGGGGGGCGCCCCCGGGGGCCCAGGAGCTGGCCCTCTGTAGAGTTAACCCACAGCAGCTACTGAGAACAGTGCCGAGGCTGAGGCTCCCCCGCTAGGCCTCACGTTCAGCCCAGCGTTTGTTCTTCCGGCTCCGGCTACCAGGTCACCTTGACCTTGGTGCATCTGATGGCGTCAAGGTCCTGCACCCACTTGGGCCCCAGATCAGATCACTAGTCGTCCATGGGCGGCAGCCGCGCTCAGCACTGGGTGGGTGCCGGGGGGGGCCGAGGGGGTGCCCTCCCTCCCTGGGCAGAGCAAGGAAACCCCACTTTGAGCCCAGGAGGTAGGACCTGGGGACCTGGGCATGAGGGACGGACGGGGGGCAGAGCCTCAGGTGCCCGCCCGGGGCCAGGCCTGACGCGGCGTGTGCCCGCCGCAGGCCACTGGACCAGAGCAGGCGCCGCTCCCAGCTGCACATGGGCTGGCGGCTGCTGCACGAGGCCAAGAAGATCAGCCACCGCGTCTGCCTGGCCCTGGGCCTGGCCGGCTTGGTGCTCATCGGGCTCATCTGTCTGGGCCAGCCCTGGATCCACTTCCAGGTGCCCCTGAGGCCTCGGGGCCACCCCGCCGGCCCCCTGACCTTCCCCATCGACACCGTCCTGTTCATGCGCTGTCCCGACGTCTCCTGTGTGCACGAATTCGACCAAAATGCTTGTAAGGCCGCCGCCCCGTGTCCGCGCCTGGTGCCCGGCCCCTCTTCGCCTGGGGACCCTTCTGCCTTTCCGGGGGCCCTCTCCGCCCCAGGACCACCGACGTGCCCTCCCCTCACAGTCCTAACCCGGGGAGCCCCCGCGGCCCCTGACATTTGCCTGCGCCCCCGGGAACCTGCTCCCACGTCAGGCCGGTTCCCCGATGGCCGCCCCACCTCCCGCCGCCCACGAGCCTGTCCTCACGGCTCCAGGGGTGTCTCCCCTGCCAGCGAGGGGTCTGCCTCGCCACCCCTGCTTGGGAGCCCATTCACAATGTTGTTAAATGAGGGTGAAGACGTGGCGGGGCCAGGGCGCCCACACCCCGGGGACCCGCCCCGCCCCCGCCTCCACTGCCAGCTGAGGGCCGGTCTCCGCACCCCCATTCTCTCCCTTTCCCAGACTTACTGGACTTTTCCTGGGCCTTCTTCCTCATCGCCAGCATCTCCAGCCTGTGCCTCTGCATCCTGCTCATAAACATCATGTTCTTCACCAGCTCCAACCTGCCCATGCTGGACTTCTCCAACACCATCTTCAGCATCCTGGCAGGCACGACGCGGAGGCCCCCGAGGGCTACTCGCCCGGCCCCCGGCCCATCCCCAGCCCTCCCCGCTCCCCGCCTCCAGGCCAGCCAAAGGCAGCCACGGCCAACCCAGCCCGGCTCGGGCTGCCCAGCGTCCACACCAAATCCCGCTCCGGCCACATTGCCTCACGCGCCCTGCCCCCCCCCTCTCCATGAGCCCCCCCCGCCGCTGACCTCAACCCCCAAGTCAGCCCCCCCGCCCACCCTCAGCACTAGTTCCCAGCCCACCCCTCAGGTTCAACTCAACACCACCCCATCTCTGACCCCGACCCCAGCTTCTCAACCCCACGCTGGGGCCCCAACACAGCTGCAGCCCCAGCGCGTTGCCAGGGAGTGGACGTGTGTGCCCAGCCCGCGCCCAGCTGGACAGCCTCCTGCGGCTCAGACGCCACCCGCCACCCAGTAGCCGGCCTCCCGCCCAGACCCTGTCTCTCCACGCCCAGCTCTGTGGCTTGTTCAGACTAAGCCACGGTTTTCTCGCCGTGAGATGGGTGAAATGCCCTCTCACCGGAGAAGCAGCGAGGGTAGAAGGACGCGAGCTCACTCGCCAGGCGCCGCACGGGGCACGCACACCCGCCCGCCTGACCGCCCTCCCAGGCCGGAATAAGTCCGGGTTGATACTCTGATTAGAATCCTTCAGCTGGGCCCTCCCTGGGGGTGCGGGGGGTCAGAGTGCTATGAAGCTACTGCAGCACGAGTTCAGGTTTGACCCCCGGCCAGGGAGGGACCCCCAGGGCGCAGCGGACCTGTCCCGTCTCCCCGCTGCTCCCCTCAGCAGTGTGCTTCAGTCAGTCGGCCTGTTCTGCTCCCCGCTCTGGTGAATCCTCTCACCCCCAGCACCTCTGGGCTGTACCCCAGTTCTTGTATGCACAAATAAGCCTTTAAAAACAAAATCCTTTAGCTGACCATTTGAATGCCAAACCCCACACTTTAATTTTTTAAGGTTTATTTTATTTATTTATGCATACAAGAACTGGGGTACAGGCCAGAGGGTGAAAGGACCCACCAGAGGCAGAGTGGGGAGCAGAACAGGCAGATTGACTGAAGTACACTGCTAGGGGAGCAGTGGGGAGACGGGGGAGGTCTGCTGCGCCCTGGGGGTCCCTCCCTGGCAGGAGAATCAAACTCTACAGCTTGGTGGTGTTGAGACTTTAACACGCCACCAGGGAGGCCCGCCAACCCCACATTTTAAAGGGGAGGGACTTTAATTTGGAGGGGAAGGCCATTGCGTCTTGCAGAAACTGATGGGGATTTTCAGCTGGGGGAGCAGGCAGCCTCAGGTAGCGGTGGCCAGGGAGGCTCAGAGCAGGCCACACCCAGCTCCCAGCCCTTCCTGGGCTCCGCTTGTCTGTGCCTCCCACACAGCTCGCTCCCCTCCGACGGTGACTGCTGTCTGCTGCAGCTTCAAGCAAACAAATTACCTCCTGTTTTTACTAACATTAAAAAAAAACAAACAAAAAAAATTACGCAATACCCCACCATCCGATAGAACACAGCTCTTTTCCTTTGCACAAATTACCTTTCCTTTGGGTCACCTCCAAAGGAAGTTAAACTCTCCAGAGTGACTGCCTGATGCCAGAAATCTCCAGGTGACTTCAGAAGGGCCAAAAGAAAG